GGGAAGAACCATCATGGAGGTGGTGGGGAGGATGGAGGTAAATGAAAGCGTCAGCATCTGCGAACTCAAACATGCAAGTACCGGTCTTTTATACCGCAAGTATTAGACACGATTGGATAGATGAGAAGACAATAAGTGACGTAGCAATTGAGTCTTCCTGGCAGAACTTAGCGCTAAAGCTTCCATTTCCCTACATGCTTTGCTTTAAACTCTGTAAGGAGAGTAAATGTTGAAATTAAATGTTATTTTATGTGTTTTTGCACACTATTAATATCGAGTGTGATCTGTTAGTTTACAGTTTTTCTCGATTGCTTAAACACATTTCTTGAAACTATGCCTCGTATTCTCAAAACAGTAAACACAAATCCATAACGTCTCACCCAATTCCCCAAACATCCTATTTTCAGGTCAAAATGAAGCTCTACACTCAAAACCATTCACTCTTGCTGAAAAACCAAACTTTGCCCTCAGACAGGACACACAAGCCCTCAAAAATACACACACTACAACATAGTCTTACACACTGGTGCTATAAATTCAAAACAACATTTCCGAAACTGGTAAGTCATTTTGCTTGTGGTCCCCCAATCCCCCCCCCCCCCCCCCCCCTCCCCCCATCTTTATTTTTTACTCGCTCCCACTCTTACGTAAGATGTGTGTGAGCATCATATGACAGTAAAAGAGCACACACAAACCTTATTCAAATATGGAATTGTATTGGAATGGTAAAGAGTGTTGGTACATGCCTCCACTCAAGGATACAATATGATTACAGTAACAAGTCTAAGAATGTTCCACATATGGCTAAAATACCATCATTGGCCTAGAAAGATAACACTCTGGGAGTCAAGACTATAAAGGAGAAAGGAAGCCCTCCCTTCACTGTCACACTCTGCAGCCACTCTGTGTGACTGTACGACTGCTGGCCTTTTCTTGCAAGAACATAAACCTCATCAAAGACAATTGGAAATGTCTGTCTCTTATTCAGTGATAGAAATCTGTTTGCCACCACACCTCCCTGATGGTTCTGATGATGGAGGCGACAGTGAAGCGACTCAAATTTGTCTGTACTCGTTGCCCAGCCTCCCTCATAGTCATACCATGGACAAGGACATGGCCAACTAAAGTGGCTTGAATTTCATCCGAGACTGCTTGTCTTCTTGCCCTTCCTCCTCCTCCTCCTCCTTCTCCTCCTCCTCCTCTTCCTCCTCCTATTCCTCCTCCTCTTCCTCCTCCTCCTCTTCCTCTCCCTCCTCTTCCTCCTCCTTTTCCTCCTCCTCCTCCTTTTCCTCCTCTTCATCCTCCTCCTCCTCCTCTTCCTCTCCCTCCTCGACATATTGCTTAATTTCTCTGTGGATCCATTGTTCCAAAACTCAGGAAACTGATTTTGATCTTCTATAAAAGATTGTATAACCTTTTATCTATCTATTGAAGGATCTGACTCATGTGTGTTCAATTTTGACTCTTAGTGTTTTCACCTGGGTAATTGTGTGCTAACTGAGCTGAAGCTGAGCTGACTTGAGTGAACAATATTGAATGCTAGTGCTTTCTAAATGACCACATGGTGTAGGCAATGAGAAATGAAGGGATTTGTGTGTAGAGTTTTGCTGTGACAGTTCAACAAATCTGACTAATGTGTCAAAACAGGGGAATAGTGTTCATAGTTCAGTGAAATGGGTGGGCTTTTTGATAAATGGCATTATGGTTTTGAAATTTTAGTTCAAAAGCCTGGTTATAGTGTTTAAGCAATCGAGAAAAACTGTAATATTCTGTTATGTTGTGCTGTAGGTAGCAACCAACTGCAAGAGGGTTAAGTTAATGTTTCTAAATGGAGTGTATAACTTTAACCGTATATTAGGAAATATTCTCAAATGTAATAAGTTCACAGTACTCATTGGTTTCTAAGCTTAAATGGATAGAGGCAATTGGTTTCCTCAATTGAAATGAGTTATCCTGACGATTGGGTTTTACAGTGTAGAACATTATCAAACGATCAAATGAAAACCCGATTCCTTTAAACATAATCTACAAATCTCTAAACACCAATCCAGGAATATTGTGTTGCACAGTGATTAAAGGAAAACTATGTATCCTTAATCCACAGGGTAAAATAAGCCAGATTGAAGACACCTGCTGTGAGATGTGTAAGTCTAAAATACCAGAACATCCGGGGCTTGCTTTTCCCAAAAGCATCTTAAGCCTAAGTAGATTGTAGAACCATTGCCATCAATGGTCTCTACAATCAACTTAGCTCACGGTGCCTTCGGGAAACGCAGCCCTGCTCAGTTTATAAACTCCATCCGTCTGATCTGAACTTGACGTGTGCATATGTTAAATGTTTGTTTAGGTACCGAGCCAGAGTGCAGAAGAACTGTGGGTCTTCTGAATTACATCAGGGTGGACGACTGCCAATCAGAAGAGAAGATAGAACTCACTTACTGCGAGGCGAGTCGATGCACTTTAATATATTCTACCATGAAAGTCTCAACAATATCATGAAGCTATATGCATATAATTTATCCCGTCTGTCTTTCTCTCTCACCCACAGGGAAAGTGTAGCAGCAAGTCTGTGTATTCTCTGGACAAGCACAAGGTTGAGAGCGAGTGTGTGTGTTGCTCAGCTACAGGCACCGTGCCCATGAATGTTTCCCTACACTGCGCTAACGGCACGCGAACACACCACCAAGTCCTCGCTGTCACTGGCTGTGACTGCATGTCGCACGCCTGTCCCACCGACTGAGAACAGACAGAAACCTGATAAAATAACATACAAGTGAAAAACTGCTACAATACACTTTCATATATGCATCTACAACAGGTATAATGCTCAGTGGTTTTTCTAACAACTGATTCACTGATAATCGAGCACTTTATCATAAATTTCTGTTTTTATTTCCACGTATAAAGGACACATCATTAATCAATGAACAATAATCTCAGATTGCTGCATTGCCATTTTGCCACTAAACAATCTGTCCATACAAATATATGATTTTTATGAATAACTATTATATGTGGGTGATGTTTATGGCTGTTTATTAGACTAAACTGCAATAAAGAGCAAGGCTAAACAAGTACTTAGCTTGGACCACTCGGTGGTGCTCTGGACACTTGAACCCATTTGTGTGAGAGTGTTGGTGAGCATGGAGAATACTGATCTGTCAATTAGTTGTGAATGGTGTTGAAGGGTGCAATTCACACATCTGGAGGACATGAGTCGCACATTAAAGACTTGTTACTCACTTCTCAGCCTCGTGAAATATTGAGTATAATAAGTTTGAACTATTTCTAGAATTTCTCTTTCTACACATTTTCATATTTATATGGCATTCACATATTCTAAAAGGTTTAAATAATATCTGATTAAAATTCTTAAGGTTAGTAACCAAATGAAAACACGAATAAATTGTGTGCAGAAAAGGATTCATCTCAATTCCAGCTGCCATGACCTTTACAATAACTGATCAAAATCATCTGGAAATCGTGTCAGAAAATATGAGTCACTGCATTATTATGATGTGTTTTGAAGGTAATTATGAAAGTGCATGACATCCATGCATTCTATGATGGGAATTACTTGGCACTCATTGTGCACAACAGCATCAGACATTGACTACAATATTGATCAGTTTGCTCAAATCGCTGCCTAAATGATTGCTTTAGTTTTCTCATTTAAGGGCGGCCATTTAATGTTCTCTCGTAAATTAATTGAATAAACAATGTAAAATGTGCTAAGGATAAGGTAGTAGTTGTTTAATGGTTGTCCAAAGTCTCTGACTTTTTGGTTCTTCTATAAAACACAAAAGGAAACATTTAGCTGAATCTCTAGGCTCTCTTTTCCATACAATGACAGTAAAAGATTACCACGGCTGTTTAGCTCTAAAATTGAAGAAAAAAAAGCACCATACGTGTCATAAAAGTAGTACATACAACTCGTGCGCTATATTCCATGTCTTCCCCTACAGCGCTCAAATCTTATTAGCATATTCTAATGTGGTGCATAACTACAACTGCCACGCGTCAGTTCCCACGTGTTCCCTAGTATATAATATGCACAAGCAGTATATTAAACATGTATGTATGAATATGCAGTATTCAAACAGTTCTGCTGATTCTGATGTATGCACCCATTTCATAATAATGCCATCGAGCTGAGGATCTGATTTAAAAAGTTGAGCCGCTTGTTTTTTTCTTCTTCTTCTCAGTAGTGCAAACTGGTGTAAATGCAAATAAAAAATCCTTGTGATTAAACGGTACTTGAGTAAATTATGCTCACGTCGAAGAACACGTACGGGGTCAAAGGGCATATCAAGATGGCTGATATTCGAACGAACCTTTTGATTTCACTTATTGCAAGTATGTACTGTACAATTTGAAACAGCAAGAACTAAATGAGTAAAGATATATATCAAATTAAATTACGTCCATCATCGGTCGAGAAATCACACAGAAGTTGTACTGAAATTTGGTCGCAGCAAGTGTTTTGAATTGGGGGCATATTAATCGCGACTTTTTATTTGTAAACACTGAATGAACAAGTCATCTCGTTCGTGAACGAACCGAATGAACGATTCATCTGCTGGCCGACTGTGAGGAAATGTTAAACGCTCATTCTGGAGTAGTATCTTAGTATATTTGTACATTTAATAAAGAACACGAAACTTGGTCAAATAGGTTGTGTGAATGAGTCATTCCCTCACTTGTCGCTTTCATACTGTCACAGAACAAATCTTAACGGATCTATAACGATTATGTTTAAAGTGTTTGAGGCGGCAACATCCCATTTGTGTTTAATTTAAGAAAGTTATAAAGCTTTGGAACAACATGAGGTAATGATGTCAGAACTTTAATTCTTTGGTGAACTATTATTTTAGTTCTAATTGTTGATCATAAAATACTAAGTTATTCATGGGGCATATCGTTTTTTGCATGTTGAATTGGATTTGCATTCTTGCATTTAGAGTTTGTGTGTAAGAGTTACAGAGTGTGTGTCTGAGGGGGAGGGGGGAGTGTCGGCTGTCACCGTTCTCTCGGTGCACGCGCACTGTGTCCGACTCTCGCTGGAAGTTTGAGCGTCTCGAGCGCTCCTCCACGGTATTAACGGCAGCAGCACGAGCGCGTTAAGCTGCGCGGGGCCGCGAGCGGATTGTCCACCATCTCACCGGGAACATGAACATGGCACTGAACAGATCGCCCTCTGCCTCGGGTAAGTACTAGCCCTGGTACTCCGGTTGATGTTGTTTGTGCGCGCCGGGCGCGCGCATTGTTTTCTCTGAGTCAAAGCGAAAATGTATTTGCTGCATATCTATGGAATTGTTTCTTCTACAAATTGGCTAGTTTCATTATCGCTTTATATTTAACTGTTGCAGATGAATGCTTGTTATTTCATTTAATCATACATGTATAGTCAATTTGCGTGATGTGATGAAAACTGAACATTTGAGGGGCACCAAACTGGTCGTTCATGTAAATTGCAGTGAAAGGCGCGCGCCATTTGCCCCTTCAGACAGGCTGTCACACTTAACGACTCATTAATGTCACTAATAGTGTTAGAATTCATCCTTGTGCTTTAGAAAACAAAGAGAGGGTTCAGTGTGTCGAAAGGGGTTTGTATAGTTAGCTGGGGCAATAAGCTGGAGGCTATTTCAAGCGCCACCGACCCCATGTGTTTAAGAAATCAAATACACTTTGATTTGTTTTTCTTTCTTTTTCTTTTTTCACATTAACGACAGAATGGAAATTGTGATTTGATATGAAAGCACTGGGAAGTAAAGGCACAACATAAACAGTGATGCAAGGTTTGGTCAGGTAGTGTAAATGCGCTTATAGCTTTCTGAATCCCTGTGTTTGTTTACCTGAGGGCATGGGGTATATTTAAGTGACGCTTTAGTCAAGTGTGAGCATATTTGAAAAGAATAGAGCTGTACGTGGGCATTACAGTCAGATTTACAGGTTTTGAGCATTGACGCACAACCTTCAATTATTTCGCTGTCCTTGGTGCTGAAAGGGTTTTCATATCTACTTTTAAGTAGATGCTCTCTCTCTCTCTCTCTCTCTCTCTCTCTCTCTCTCTCTCTCTCTCTCTCTCTCTCTCTCTCTCTCTCTCTCTCTCTCTCTCCCCCCCATTATTTCAGTTTCAAGCTATTTATTGGCATGATTGTTTTGCATGTAATATTGTCAAAGCAAAGAGCTAAAGAAAAGATTTAAAATCGCAATATACAATAATTTTAGCAAGATATTAGCCTAATAGACATTAAAACCTAACTTGTGAATATTTCTTTCTCTAACAGAAAATTGGAACGGGGCTCCCGAGCGCATGCGTGTTTCTGCCATGAGAAGTGAGCCCTCTTCAATGCAGAGCGAGAAACTCCGCTGTCTTGCCCGAGATATCTCTGAACTGGGCCAGCAGGGCATGGCAAGCAGCGGGCATGATGCCAATGACATTGCTGAGGACACGGTGCGTGGATTCTGTTGTCTAATGCAGGAATTATCATGAAATGTTGTTTATTATCATAGACAGGCATTAATCTCTTTTATTAAATTAGAAGCTAACATTATTGCATTAAGGCGAGACAGGTGAATAGGGTATTTTTTTAACTAGCAGATATCACCATGAAACTTTCCCAGTTGATTACCTACATTAAGATGAGAAAAAAATGTATTACAAGTTTTCTGTAATTTAATGTTTAAATATGCAAATTATGCATTATCTAATTAAATATGCGCTAATTTGCATATATAAAAAAAAAATGAAATCTGAGTATTGGAAGCCAGGTTCAAAATGATTTTTTCATTGTGTTCACATATTAGATGGGAAAAAATTACAGATGGATTTATGGATATCTACTTTTGTTATCCTGTAAATCAGAATATACTGTCAAGCCTTAAAAAATGATTTTTTGCCATGTTTTTTGGAATAAAATCTTATATAAATCAGGCTAGGAATAATATATTTACAAATCCATCTGTAAATGTCTTCATAATATAGCTAGGTACAAGACTGGAAAGTGTGGTGTATATAGGTGCTATACTGAAGAGGAGATTTCGGACTTGGAGTATGGGAGAAAAGTCATTTTGAGAAAACGGGCTTTAAAGATTTAGCATCAGCCAATGAGATTGCGTATTTGCGCCCTTTTACTTTCACTATTGGTTGCTGATAAAAAGGAAATTACCATATTTGACCATATTCTGACAACATTGTACAGGAGAGAGAGCTTTCTAACGGTGTGTGTGATGACAGGGTGCAGACAGCGATCGCGGAGCAGCGGGATGATTTAGATCGCCAACTTTTGATGAATTTATGAGAAATCTACAGATGAAAACAGATAAAGTGTCGTAAAATAAAGACCTAAATGTGTATTTCGGACTTTTTTTCACCACAAGTCTGAAAGAAGACATGTTATTGAAGACAAATATCCCAAAATCTCAAAATTGACCAGTGAAAAAAAACAAACTGTGTTTTTGACCGCCATGTCTCGCCTTAAATAATGGTTTTGGTTAGATCATTAGTTAATGTTCATTAAAATAGTCACATTGCATATATTATATACATAATAGACCCCCTGTAGTACCATCACGGCCCCCCAGGGGTCAATTGAGGGTTAGTTCAACCAACAATGAAAATTATTCCATAATTTACTCACCCCCAAGTCATCCTTTGTGTATATGACCTTCTTCTTTCAACCAAACACAATCGGAGTATATTTAAAAATATCCTGGCTCTTCCTAGCTTTATAATGGGAGTGAATGGTACCACAGGCCAAGCGCATCCATCCATCATAAAAGTAATCTACAGGATATGGCTCCAGGGGCTAATAAAGGCCTTCTAAAGTGAAAGAAAAATATCCATAATTATAACTTCATAAACTGTAATCACTAGCTTCCGGTTAAAGCCGTCCACATCCGCGCTCAAGAGAGAGTTGAGTTCCAGCGAAAGAGTGACCTCTGACTCAATGCATGACATAGGATGTAGGAGTAGCGTTAGCTTAGATGAGAGTAGACGCCTGTTCAAACAAATAGGGCTGGGCAACAAACTCAAGCTCCTCTTCTCTTCTCTTATATAGAAATCCTCTGACATTTCTTTTTAAAAATTCACGTTTTAGACTTCTAATTCTTGTCCGGTGTTTTGTTTTGCTCTATCCTCTGCACTTCCACGTTCGTCAATACGTCATGCTTCGGGTCAGTGGTCACTCTTCCATCGGAACTAGACTCGCGTACAGCCGTTACCGGAAGCCAGTGATTACAGTTTATAGTTGTAAATATGGATATTTCTCTTACAAAAATGCATCGCTTCGCTTCAGAAGGCCTTTATTAACCCCCTGGAGCCATATGGATTACTTTAAGGATGGATGGATGCACTTTTTTAGGCTTCAAATAAATGGTACCATTCACCGATTGTGTTTGGCTGAAAGAAGAAAGTCATATAGATGGCTTGAGGGTGAGTAAATAATGGGATAATTTTCATTGTGGTGAACTTACCCTTAGGTGTCATAAGAAAATGAATTTCAGTTGTTGGCTGGTGCCGCTGGTCACACAAAGATTATTGGACCCACAGGTAAAGATGTCTAGATATCGGCATGATCCATTGAAAAACTCAATATTGAAAATATCAATACTGGACAGTTACTGTTAGATTCCAGAATCCATTCACCAGTGAAGGAAAGCACTTCCCAAGATCTCAACATGCTTCATTTGCAATGTGTTTTCATTGTATCACATTGAATACAAAACATCTGCTAATTGAGATCAGTTTAATATTGACAGCAGATTTGGCCAGCTGTAAGCCTATATGTGTTCTTTCACAACATTCATATTCCAATACACTCTGATTATTATAAAGTTCTTTAGGATACAGTAAGAAATTGCTCCCACAGACACTGGTAAATATTACAACCTTAAAACTGAAAACTGTTAAATTAAAATATGCATGAACACTTTTTAATAATATATATTGTGTTTTTATCATTAAAATTAAAAAATCTGATCTGCATAAATGTAATATTTATATGTATACACTAGGGCTGGGCGATATATCGCACGATATTGCTATGCGCATCTCGTCAGTAAAGCCGGTTCCTTGATTAGTAGTAAATCACCTTCACCTGCTTTCAGATGGAGCGGCATTTACTACAAAGAGCCGTAGTTAACTGACAAGCTGAGCCATATCGCATTAATATCGCGGACGTATCGCCAGCGATAATGAATGCGATACGGCTCAGCTTGTCAGTTAACTACGGCTCTTTGTACACAACAAAAACTCCAGTGTTAAATTAACACTCCTAGGAGTGTATATGAGTCCATACTCAAGAGTGTTGAATGTGATAATTAAGTGACTAATTGAGTGATGATTGAGTATTATTGAAGTCACCTAAAGCAGAATCACAAGGAGAAAATCTAAAATTGTAAGCCACCGTTATGGCGATCATTGTTTGCTTTAGTTGGGCTCTTGACCCTTATATTATTAACTTTAGATTTTGTTTGGCTGTTGTATCTGAGTTATACTTGCCAGGTGAACAAAGAAAAAAAGTGATCTTATGGTAGGCCTATTGGTTATATTATGACATTCATCATTTGAAATTTATGTTTGTTATTTATTCTGTTGGATACAGCATAACTGAGATTCTGCATAAATATCCAGCTAGATATAATATAATGGATTGCTTAAAAGTTGTTAAAAAAAAATCTTTCTTATAGGCACACACAGACCTCAAGATTCACTCAATGCATCTCAACAATGGTGACGAGCAGAATATTCAATTAGGAAAAGTAAATTACATAGACAATTCAGATTATAATTTATTCATATCGCAATGCATGATGGGAGCCATTAATGAGTTGTGATTGGTGGCAACAAGGATTATTATTATCACCACGGTTGAGATTCACAGGCTGATTATTGATGTCTGTGTTTCTGAAATAAAGATGAAAGAAATTTGATCAGAACAATTTTTATTAAATGTTTTGGATTATTAGAAAAATACGGATTATCATATGCTGTAGAACCACTAAACTGTTGCTAACAAGTTAAACCAAACTATCTCAATAAGTTTCATTTTTCAGATCACAGCATGATTATGCCAAAACATAACCAACACAGATCACACTTGTATTTGTTCATTTGACTGTTATAAATCAATACCAGCAGACAAACAATATTTAAAGAAGAAAGTATAAGGATCAAGAGTCCAACTAAAGCAAACACTTATCGCCATAACGGTTGCTTACAATTTGAGATTTTCTCCTTCAGTGATTCTGCTTGTTAACATCAGGTGTCTTCAATAATGCTCAAACATCACTAAATTAATCACTTAATTATCTCATTACCTTTAATACTCTTTAGTGTTAATTTAACACTGGAGTTTGTGCTGTGTAGTAAATGCCACTCCATCTGAAATCTAGAAACCGGCTTTACTGACGAGATGCGCATAACAATATCGTGCGATATATCGCCCAGCCCTAGTATACACTAAACTTTGGCATTTGCAAGTCAATCTCACAATTTAAAAAAGAACCTCAAAAGCTTTTTGAAAATATACGTTTTTATAAGTTTTGTTACTTCCTTTTCACTTTGGGAAAAATATATTATCTTATATATTTTGAACATAATATTTCTGGGGAGGTTTCTGTCATGTCAAGAGAACATTATGAAAACCACAATTGGCAATTTCAGCTGACGCACTTATCCATTCAGGGACCGTCCTAGTTACGCACCTTCCTCAAAACCAGAATTCGAATCAAATGTGAGTATAACAGGAAACATCCAACTGCCAATCAGTGGATGACCCAGATCCTCAGTTTTTAGCTGAAACTGCCAACTATACACAATGCAGCTTTAAGAGATCTCCAAGAATCTGTAATGCTCTGTAGAGCTATGCAGATGTGTCTAGATGTCACTGAGATGGTGTTGTGTGTTTTCAGGTGGAGCCAGGCCCTGGTCCAGGTGGAGGGCTGAGTTTTGCAGATGGTCACAGGAGAGTGGACTACGTTCTTGTATATCACCGCAAGAGACGTCAGCTCCAACACCGCCTCTCTGTTGTTTCTAACGGTAACGTGCCGTCTCAAAGCCCCACCCCTTCGCGCAGGAGTACGAAGGGCGATATTTCGGAGGTGGTGCTGGAGGAGGGGCTTGGGACGGAACCCGCCGATGGACTAAAAGATAAAATCAGGGAGGAATTTGAAAGAGGACTTCAGGAGGAAGGCTTGGAGATTGAACATGACAAAGAGGTTTGTGTGTATGGTTATGTTCAGAATGGAATACTAGCATCATGCCTACTATATTTAATTCTTAAATAATATGAGAAACAAAATGCATTATGCAACATTTAAAACGGTAGTATTATGCTACATTTTTGTCATATGATCTCACTAGATACATATGAAGCATAGATCAAATACAGCAAAAACAGTAATATTGTGAAATATTGTTACAATTAAAATTATAATTAAAACAACCATATATTTAAAGGGTTAGTTCACCCCAAAATGAAAATTCTGTCAGTAATTACTCACCCTCATGTTGTTCCAACCCCGTAAGACTTTCGTTCATCTTCGGAACACAAATTAAGATATTATTTTATTAAATCTGAGAGCTGGATCACTCCTCCATAGGCTTCTTAAGGGATCGAAACTGGCCGGCCCAAAAGTTATGAAAGACATTGTTAGAATAGTCCGAGTGACTACAGTGGCTCAATCTTAAGTTTATCAAGCGACGAGAATACTTTTTGTGCGCAAAAAACAAACAAAAATAACGACTTTATTCAACTATTCATTTCCTTCTCTGTGGGCCTCGAGATTTCACGTAGTGAAACTGCGCTTATAGGTTGTACGTCACACGCATCACACACATGACCAGCGTCGGCCAATAGTGAGCCTACGTGTGACGTGCAACACAGAAGCTTTGCGCAATATCACTATGTGAAATCTCAAGCCCCACAGAGAAGGAAATGAATAGTTGAATAAAGTCGATATTTTTAACAGTAGTGTATGTCATTTCGCTAGTGGTATCTAATTATCATTTAGAAATCCATCTTGTATATAATGTCTTAAAAATCAATTTATACTCAAATAACAAGTCAAGAAAAAGGTAAAATCATGGTTACTTCCAGTTTATTCATCATATGGTTATGGAAGTTGAAGTGTTTTATGGGATTCGGTATGTTTTTACAAACATAATAGGCCAGACAATATGCAGATTGCAAAAGAGTAGCATAGTAGTATGCTATTCCGAACATAGCCTATGTATATTCTTGTCTGGCCATGCATGTATCTATATCAGTTTCCTGGCAAACATATTAATATATCATCATCTCATGTGTTGAGCCATGAATAATTAGGGATGATCTCAGTTTTGAGTGCAATACTAACAGAATGAGCACAATCAAAAGATTCCCAAGGTGACCTTGGAACTTAAGAAGTGGAGACCCAGTTTAGAAAACCCCAAACCCTCCCACACTTAGAAAAGTCTATCTTGTTTTGAGGGGGATCTAGTTTTCATTTACAAAGCAATGCAGCATATTCTAATACTAGTTAACAGCTGCCAAAAAGCTTTTTTTTTGCTTTCCTGCAGCGCTGCAGCAGTAGCCCCCAGGCAAGATATTTGCGAAAGACACAAATGTGGTTGTCAAAAGTGATGATTGGTTCCCCCTGCATCATGGATTTTCCCAAGTTGAAGCAGGGAGAGCTTAGTATTTCTAAATAGGAGTAGATTGGTTGACTCATGCAGCTTTTTTCCCACAAAACTAGCTTATACTAAGGAAATGTCCTCATGAATCCAAATATAGTTCTTTTTATTATTATGCAGGTTTGAGTACACTTTAAAAACACACTACATGCTATATGGGTGAATTTTTAGGAAGAAATGTCCGGATATATATATTTTGCATAAAGAAAATAAAGCCCATTTTAGGACCATTATTATTTTTGTTTTTATTTCCATGATAATAATAATAAATAATACAATAAAAAGCATCTGCCTAAACACATTGTTATTCAACTAATCAGCATAAATTAAATTCAAAACAACAAATAATACCATGCAACTGCATATAGTTGCAGGTGATTTTTGTATGTTGCTTATTGCTTAACTAACTATATTTTAAGCTGCAAAGGCATATTCTTATGTATCATGTCTGTATAGAACTAATATTTGCACCAGGGTTCAATCCTGAGTGAATGCTGTGACGTGGGTGTATGTTTGATTGTTGGTGGTGTGATGTGGTAGATCAGTTGTGTTGTGTGTATGTGGATTAAATTTGAGTGCTGCTGTCTCCATCCCAAAGGCAGATTATGGTTGATCCTCATTGCCAGAGGTGTTTGTGTTTGATGTGTCTGTGTGTGCGTGTGTCTGTGTCACTCATCCACGCTGAATAAGACCATTTTAACAACAGCTGCTTCTTATAGAGTGTGTGTGTGTGACTGTGGCTGTGTGTGTGTGTTTGCACCCCTGCTTGTGTTAATCAAGGCTGCTAAATCACCTTATCTTGAACTAAATGTTCAGTTGCATCCTGCAAACCAAAATGACATGAACTGCATAGTCAATGGTGCTTTACTCTTTAAACAAATGTCATTTCTTTCTTTTGTTTTCTTTCAAGATGAGGACAGTCCGGTTTACTCGTCTTCATGTTCCCTGGTCTGTTCTTAGTCGTGAGGCAGAACTTCTTAAGATCAGAGTGCCCACTAAAAAGGTGAGTCACTATAAAATATTCTAAAGGGGAAAAAAACACATAAAAAAAGCTGTATTTGGGAATAAAGTATAAAGCTGTGATGCCATGTGTAATGTATAACTTGTCTTATTGTATTATTATCAATCTTTATATTGAACTTTTATTCATGAATTTACAGGAAAGATTTCCTAAGATTAATTAAACAATGTGTACAATAGATCTGATTGCTGAATTGTGACACCATCAAAACCTAAAAGATCCCATTATAATGAACAAATCTGTCTACACTGGTAGCTACCGGTCCATCAGTTGACAGGACAGATCCTATTTTTGTCACACTGCAAAGCTATTCTAGCCACTTTATTTTCCCAATCCATTGTAGATAAATTACATGAGTGTTCCAAAGTTTGGGATCAGTAAGGTTTTTTTTTAAATACCTTTATTCAGCAACAGCAAGGAAGAATTAAATTGATACAAATTATATATTTTTTATACAGAAAAGACATTTATAATATTTGTTAAATTCGGTTCTTTTAAACTTTCCATTCCTCAAAGAATCCTGAAAAAAGGTGTCATAATTTGCACAAAAAATATTAATCAGCACAACAATTTCAAAATTGATAATAAGAAATGTTTATTGAGCAGCAAATCAGCATACTAGAATGTCACATGATCCTTCAGAAATCATTGAAGACTGGAGTAATGATGCTGAAAATTCAGCTTTGCCATCAAAGGAATTAATGAAAATGTTTTATATATATAATCAGAAAACAGTTTTTTACAATCGTAATATTTCACAATATTGCTGTTTTTACTGTATTTTTGATCAAATAAATGCAGCCTTGGTGAGCTTAAGAGAACTTTCAAAAACATACAAAAAAAATGACTTATTATAAACTTATTTAAATGACTTATCTCCACTGACTTATTTAAATCATCTTTTGTTTCTAATTATGAATGTAAAATTATTGTGCTATTTTAAAAATATGCAGCGTTCTTTTAAACCAATATATTGAAAATAAAGTAGATTATGAAATTTGACCATTATACTGTTGCTGAAATCTCACTTCTAGCTAACTGCTGATCTGCTTGTTGTTCTGACAGATTCAAGCTGTCGGGCTGCAATGCTTGGTCACTTCCAGTGTTAGAATGTTTCACATTGGATTTGTGAACGTAAAGGTGTTGAACACCAAGCAGTTCCCATCAGAGAAAATCTGAAAAACCAAAACCTTATATATACAGTATCTCACAAAAGTGAATACACCCTTCACATTTCAGCAAACATTTTAGTATATCTTCTCAAGGGACAATACTATAGAAATGAAACTTGGATAGATTTTTGAGTAGTCAATGTGCTGCTTGTATAGCAGTATATATTTACTGTCCTCAGAAAATAACTCAACATACAGCCATTATTGTCAAAATAGCTGGCAACAAAAGTGAGTACACCCAGTGAACGTCAAACCTGTGTCCAAAGTGTCCATATTTAGTGTGAGCGCCATTGATATCTAGCACTGCCTTAATCCTCCTAGGCATGGAGTTCACCAGAGCTGCACAGGTTGTTGCTGGGACCCTCTTCCACTCATCCATAATGACATCACCGAGCTGCTGGATGTTATACACATGCCGCCTCTCCACCTTCCGCTTGAGGACGCCCCACAGGTGCTCAATAGGGTTCAGGTCTGGAGACATACTTGGCCACTCCATCACCTTCACCTTCAGACTCCTCAGCAAGGCAGTTGTTATCTTGCCGATGTGTTTGGGGTCGTTATCATGCCGTTCGGCCCAGTTTCTGAAGGGAGAGCATCATGTTCTGCTTCAGAATGTCACAGTACACAGTACAGAATCCATGTTTTCCTCAATGAAGCTCAGCTTCCCAGTACCAGCAGCACTCATGCAGCCCCAGACCAGGATGCTACCACCACCATGCTTGACTGTAGGCAAGACACAATTCTCTTGGTACTCCTCACCAGGGCATCGCCACACATGCTGGACACCATCTGAGCCAAACAGGTTCCTCTTAGTCTCATCAGGCCACAGGACATGGTTCCAGTAATTCATGCTCTTGGACAGGTTGTCTTCAGCAAACTGTTTGCGGGCTTTCTTTTGAGCCAGCTTCAGAAGAGGCTTCCTTCTGGGACGACGGCCATGCAAACCGCCTTGTTGCAGTGTGCGGCGTATGGTCTGAGCACTGACAAGCTGACCTACCGCTTCTGCAACCTCTAATGCTGGCAGGACTCATGCGTCTATTTTTTTAAGCCAGCTTCTGCACCTGACGCACAGCACGAGGACTCAACTTCTTTGATTGACCCTTGTGAGGCCTGTTCCAAGTGGAATCGGTCTTGTAAAACCTCTGTATGACCCTGGCCTGTTCTGTAACTCAGTTTCAGGGTGTTACCAATCTTCTTATTGCCTAGGTCAACTTTGTGGAGAGCAACAATTCTAATTCTCAAATCCTTAGAGAGTTCTTTGCCACGAGGTGCCATATTGAACATCCAGTGGTCAGTATGAGAGAATTGTACTAAAAGCACACATTTTAACTGCTCTAATACAAGATACACAAATGTGTATGGTCCTGTCAAGCAGACAAAAACATGAACATGATGGTTAAATGACGTATTGCTATTATCACTTAGGGTGTACTCACTTTTGTTGCCAGCTATTTTGACAATAATGGCTGTATGTTGAGTTATTTTCTGAGGACAGTAAATATATTCTGCTATACAAGCAGCACATTGACTACTCTAAAATCTATCCAAGTTTCCTTTCTATAGTATTGTCCCTTGAGAAGATATACTAAAATGTTTGCTGAAATGTGAAGGGTGTACTCACTTTTGTGAGATACTGTATATGTTACATATACATATGTATATGCATGTATAATTGTTATGATTTGATATTTTACTGCATATTGCATTGACAAATAAGCTAATGTCAATATTAAGAAACAATTATCTTCCCTACGAGAATGTTTCACTGGTCTGTCAATCCGAGCTGTACAGACTCAATTATAGAATCAATTCTTAATGCACATGTGAACGCCATCAGCGTTTATCACAGGTTCGCATTTAAAGTCTGTTTAGAGGGAACGGTGTCATCTTAGCGACCCCTAATTTAATAACAAATGATCATTTGAATCAATCAAAACTAACTTTAGCTGGAAAATAACATTATAAAAGCAATTTCTGTTACCTTAAATTATATTAAGTTTATCTCTGTAAAGCTGCTTTGAAACAATCTACATTGTTAAAAGCGCTATATAAATGAGGATGACTTGACTTGACTTGACGCCACAGTCACCCCACCTATAAACACTGGCACAGCCCAAGAGTGTCATGTTTTTTCAGGTTAAGAGCTTTGGCTCCATGATCGTCTTTGTAAGTGCTCTGGGTTGGCCCGGTCTAAGAGCAGTTGTAATGCCAAAAGTCTGAACACAGCAGAGAAAAAAAATGAGATCTGATTATACGGTCAACAAGCCGATTACTTGTAAAATGTTTTCAAATTCCTGCAAGGGACATTTGTCATATAGGTCGCATACTAAGGCGATTGTTAGCATTGTGTTTCCCCATACATTTAGATTTGGCTTTCGTCCTGAAAGAATGATTTGTCCTTTGAGGTTGTGAGTTGTATTGAATGATATAATCTGATAATGGTGGATTAGCTGTTGAAACATATGGACCCCCCGTATCATACATGTGCTTCTGTTTGCCTTCAAAACCAGATATTCCCACTCTACACTTGTGGTGTCCCGTCGTCTGACCCTGGTCTCAACTCTAAGTGTGTCTTGTCTGTCTTTAGCTCTGGATATAAATGGATTAATCTCTCTTTCATTTCAGTTCCCTTATACTTGTTTTTCCAGACGTATCGGCTGAAAGAGAAGACGGGGCTCATGGGCGTAATAAGCTCGGTTTGGGCGAAGATCAATCAGCCGTTCCAGCCGGGCGTACCAGAGCCCCAGAACCCACGCACACGTGTCCTATCCCAGCCGTTCAGCAGAGACAAGCTACACCTGTGAGTGCCAGCGCTTGCGGACAGCCAGACTATCATAAAAGCGCATTTACAATAGGCAAACCCACACATTGGCCTAATTGTTTTCCTTTTATTTTGCAGATTTGAAATAAAGTCAAAAAACAGCTTGTTCAGCAATGCAGTCCGAGGTCGAATTGTGAGTATCAAACGCAAAAATTATGTCATTTACTCACCATCGTGCCATTCCAAACACACAAAGGGAGAAATTTTGAATGATCCATTTTTCTCCCGTACAGTTGCAAGAATTGGGGACTGGAGCTTTCAAGCTTCAAAAATGACAGAAAAGCACCATAAAAGTATCATAAAACTATAGCAATTGTCTTTTTTATCGTACTATAGTAGACAAAAATGTGTGAAAATCAGTGAACTCAATTAATCATTCAGACCAGTTTTGTGAGCTGATTTACTGAAAATAACAATTTGTTCATGAATTAGACATTTTCTCATGGACTCACATGAAAGAACTAAGCTGCATATTCAGTTAATATCTTAACTGGTTAAGTGTGGCCATTTTATGGTTATTTTTGGTCTTTTGGTCAAATCCTCATTCACATTCTTTATATTAAAAGAGTAGCCATGATAGGTCAAAATTGGACTTTAATTTTCTGGGTTAACTATTGCATTAATGTATGTTTACTATTCTTTGTTAGATTTTAATGAACACTCTCGTTCAAAAGTTTGGGGTCACGTAAAAAAACGTTTTATACTTTTGTTCAGCAAGGATGCATTGTATTGATCAAAAGTGACAGTAAAGACATTTATAATATTACAAAAGTTTTCCATTTCCAATAAATGCTGCTCTTTTGAAATTTCTATTCAAAGAATCCTGAAAACAAATGTGTCAAAGTTTTGAAAAATATATTAAGCACCCCAACCGTTTTAAATATCTGTTTCTTGAGCAGAATATTAGAATGATATCTGAAGAATCATGCCATCAGAGGAATAAATTACATTTTAAAATATATTCAAATAGAAAACAGTCATTTTAAATTGTATTAATATTTCACAATATTACTGTTTTTACTGTATTTTTATCAAATAAGTGCAGCCTTGATGAGAAGAAGAGACCTTTTTCAAAAACATTAAAACTTCTTACAGACCTGAATTTTGAACGATGGTGTATTTTGTGGTGTGTCCACACTCTCTCGCAGGTTTATGAAATTCTGAGACGCACAGCCTGCTCACAGACCTGTCAAACAATGGGTATGTTCCTGGAGACGCAAGTGCAACATTTTAAACTATTGAACTATACTATTTTAAATTGGATTGATTTACTGACATTTATAGTTTGTTTCATTAAATATTTTTTTTTTACTACAGATAGTCAAATTCTCTCTCATTTCTGTCTTAGGCATTACGTCTTTGCTAGCCAAAGGGGTTTATGATTCTGCCTTCCCTCTACATGATGTAAGTGTTGCATTTTACCTAGTTAGCTAGGGTGAAGCTGATATTTAATTGTCTGTTATTTCAGTGTATATGTGTGATGAGGTTTGGGTAGAGCTCTGTGTGTGTTGTCATTGCTGCAGGGAGACTTTGACAGCTCAGAAGATAGAGAGCATCGCAACGACAGACAGGTGATACCTGCAGCCTGCTCTGATTGGATGGCTGTGTGTCACATTTATAAGCTTTGTTTTGATTGATAAAACAGCTGCTTATTCTCGTAAGATGTGTGTGTGGATGTCTGTCTAAGACGATGGAAAGAATATTTGGTTTTGTAATACAGAAGCTGAACAGTTAATATAACAGAGTGATATCTGTGTGCATTGCAGATGTTGCATGAGGAATGGGCCAATTATGGAGCTTTCTACAAATATCAGCCAATGGACCTTATCAGGTATCAGAAATTATATACTTCACTAACATCTGGTTCTGTGAAAGATTTTATTCAGTACACAGATGGTTATTGACTGGTTTTCCTTTATGAGAACTGTCATATGTGTGTATATTTGCGGACTGCTATAAATAGTTCTACCTCAAAGCATATGGCTTGTTAAGGAGAGATGTGTCACTTTTCAGTATATTTTAAGATTTTCACCTGGGAGATGATAAAACACCTGAAATAAATCTCATTGCCTATCCCAAAATGCCTCCTTAAAAGATTTTTTTAATGTTAAAATACTTTCTCTTAACCCATTTTATTGTTCATTGACTACCATTAGTATGCCATTCAGGGGTTTATTTCCCATTAAGACATTAAACACTGAGACATTAGCCATGTTTCCATCCAAAGTTGCGAATTTAACTTAAGCACAAAATTGGAATATCGCCTAAATAAATTGTGAATAAAACACCGTTTCCATCCAGCGAGACAAAGAGAACCAAATCTTAACTACTGATAAACTGGTTCCAAATATCACTAAGAAAAATGTAAGTTGTTGCTATAGGAGAATCCACAGTGTGTATTTTTTCGTATACATCATAAATTAGTTGCGCCTCAGAGCGACCAGACGAAACGCAATAAGCACGGTCATGTTACCTTGTTTTCGGAGGATGTGTAAAACTTTGTGAATTAAATGGCATCCGATTTCTGTAGGTTCACATTCCATGCAGTCGTTTTTTGAAAACAGTTTGTATGTTGGTGTTCAGTGGTTGTTGATCTTTTTTGTGATAGTTTTGTAACCCATTTACATGTATTCAACAGGAAGTACTTTGGAGAGAAGATTGGCCTGTATTTTGCCTGGTTAGGAGTGTACACACAGCTGCTGATTCCTGCATCAGCTTTAGGAGTCGCAGTATTCCTGTACGGATGCCTCACCGTAGACACCAATGTGCCCAGGTAAACACACTCACATGTTTGCTTCTCTATCATGGCGGGGTCTTTTTATTGACTTTTGTCATTTTTAACAAACAAATCATTTTTTTTTCTATCCCCTAACCCTAAATCAAACCCTCAGAAGACTTTATTTAGAGTGTCTATTAAGCCATTTTCTTTGTGGAGGCTTACTATTGAAATATAAACTAGCCTAACTCTAAAATATGTATTTTGGAATATTTACATTTGAATTGGAATGATTTATTTGCTTTATGAACCCTTTTTCTTTGTGGGGATGTTTCATTTTCTGCAATTCGTGAAGCTCACGTGTAACTTTTTTTAAAAGAGAACCATTTTCTTAGAAAATCGATTTTATTATATAATCAATCATTTCTCTCTCTCTCTTTCAGTCAAGAGATGTGTGATGAGCATCTTAATTTTACCATGTGTCCTCTATGTGATCGTGTGTGTGATTACTGGCAGCTGAGCAGTATCTGCAGTACTGCACGTGCCAGCTATCTGTTTGATAACCACGCCACCATGGGCTTTGCCATCTTCATGTCACTCTGGGGTATGAGCTGTATGAATACGTACATTTGACGATAAACTGTGTTTACTGTACGTTTATAATATATTGAGAAGAAAAATGGTGGTTTAAAGAGGAATTGATAATTGTGCGTGTGTGTTTAGCGGCAGTGTTTCTAGAACACTGGAAGAGGAGGCAGCGATGTCTACAGCACAGCTGGGATCTCACCGGCATGGAAGATGATGAGGTGAGAAAAATCCAAAGCATTTTAGAATTCTAGAAACATGATCAAAGCCACAGAATATCTATGTCAATAGGCTTTAAGGTAAGTCACAGCCATGAGCAAACTTTTGGATGCAGGGAATTCTCATTCTAGAGATTATTTTACTGTACAAAAATGTTTTGTGCACAATGTGTCAGTATTTTTACTTGGTTTTCCTAGAAGAGAAAGACACTCACATTCAAAAGTTTGGGGCTGATAAGATTTAAAAAAATTTTTTTTACAGAAGTCTCTAATGCTCACCAAGGCCGCATTTATTTGATCAAAAATACAGTAAAAACAGTACTATTTTGAAATAATGTTACAATTTAAAATGACTGTTGTGAATACACTTAAAAATGTAATTTATTCCTGTGACACAAAGCTGAATTGTCAGCATCATTACTCCAGTCTTGACTCTTCAGTGTCACACGATCCTTCAGAAATCATTCTAATATGCGGATTTAATGCTCAAGAAACATTTCTGATTATTGTATTTGTAAACAGTTGCTTAATATTTTAGTGGAAACCATGATACATCTTTGATAAATAGAAAGTTCAAAAGAACAGTATTTTTTTTTTTGTAACATTGCTTACATTGCAATTTTAATTTTGGCAAAGTTGTAAGTACAACTTTAAATTGTACAAGTAAACACTTGTACAAGTGTTTAATTAATTTAATTATTAATCTTGTACAAGTTGTAACACTTGTACAAGAATCTTTGTCAAAACAAGTAAATTTTGGCAAGTACAAAGTTGTACTTTGCTATCATTTTTGATCAATTTAATCCATCCTTGCTGAATAAAAGTATTCTTTTTTTTTTTTTTTTTATCTTACTGAGCCCAAACTTTTGAATGGTTCTGTATTTGCTAAAAGTGAATTGAGGATCATAAGCATACAGATAACATCATCCTCGAAGATAACACATATGCGCTAAAAGCGCATTGGATTCAATGGGGTCTTAAAATATTTAGATAAGATACTAGTATCTTATGGCTTTTGATGCAGTTTTATAAAACCAGTTAGCCACTCGAGGCAACATGGTTCATGCCATGTCTAGCATCACCTCTTAACTGTGGGTTAATCATATTTTGGCACAGCTTACAATAGCAGCCCTCTTCAAAACTATTCACTGCGATAAACTGCAACACAGTTTATAAAGCATTGTTTAACATAATGCTAGATAATAGCCAATTCTGGCCTGGGCTTCATTTAGCTTTAGGAAAATTCAAGCTTTCATTGTTCTTGAGGGTCTGAACTGTTCACCTGGGAGCGGATTAAGTTTGAAGCGGGTGTGTGTACTGGGAGAGGGTGGTGTGTGTGTGTGATAGGACATGTGTGAGTAATTCGATTGTGTTCTGCTTAAAGCATTGAGCTGAGTGGATGAAGGACTGCACTCTCAACAGGACACCATGGAGATCATGAGCATCATGCTAATGTGAATGATAATGAAGTTCAATTACACCGCATATTAACCGCTGTAAATATGTGTGTCTAACTCCATGTCTTCTTTGCTTTGATGCTCACCAATAGGAAAGGGCTGAGGTAAACCTATCTTTTGCTCTCTTTCTTTCTGTCTCTGTTTCTAAATTGTTCCCGACACGCTCAATTGCACACCATATTTTTCACCACGTCCCTCACACTTCCCCCACCCTCATCATCACTCTATCTCCGGTTTGCAATTTTCTGTGCAGCGGGAGGATCAATTTTGCGTCTGAGTCTGTGGTGATGCTGTTTAATGAATCAACCCTGAATTCATGGGAGGAGGAGGAGGAGAGATTTACAGTGGATTAACTTTGTAGTAACCTGTGTGCCAACGAATCCTTTACCGTGATTTTATACCATTAACCTCAATGCCATAATCCTGACCACAATGTACTTGCCAGATAATCACGACCTTATTTGTGACGTTGAAAATGCTACCTGTCACCTTAAACACATTTTATATTATAAATATATCAGCTTAAGAATTGTGTTTTGAACATAGAACTATATACTACTCTTGTATTGGATGGGGGTCTTACAGATTGAGTCTACAGCAGTGTGTTCGCAGCATACCCAGAAAAGCCCTGCGGGTTATGTGCTTTTTAATGAACTTGCATTTTTGTACCATATCAGCGTCTTTAGCCTCAAGACAAGAAAGTGATTTAATGCGGAACCAAGATAATTATTTCTATTTGTGCATTTGTTTGTGAATCCTGTTTCTATGGAGACTGTTTTGCTTATGCATGTCTGAGGAACTGATGTTGGATTTGGTGCTTTTTGACATTGGAGTCCTTCATCACAAAGCTTGACGCATCTTTGTGTGTTTAAATCCCAGAATGAGCTACGACCAGCATATGAGGACTTTCTTCTCAAGAAACAAGAGAAAGCAGCAAAGAAGAAGAAGAAGGAAGAGGTAAACTGCACTATTAAGGTTCCCACACATTTTGACCGAATAATTGATCCATGATTTTCCCTTTCCAAGTTGTTTGTGATGATAAATAAAAGTACTTTTATAAATAATTTTATAAAGATTGTACCCACACCACAAAAAGTATAACTATAGAAAAATGTATATTCACGATAAAACAAATTTCCATGAATTCTCCATGTCTTTAAGATTTTAATAATAGACTTTTTCAAGCTTGGAAATCACAATTCCCGATATCATGCGAATATCATCTCTGATTTTAGTGTATAGAAAATTACAAACAAATAATTGGATTCTTGACAAAATTCTGAAGAAACTGTACAGGATCCCTATTGGAGTTTTTATAACAATTAGGATATTTTTTTAAACAAAATAAAATAATTGTAGATTGCCGTAATTTTGCCACGTGAGTATCCTGGATTAACATTTTGATGATCCTGGAACAGCATTCCTGTCCAAAAACATTGTCCTAACCTTATACCAATAAACCTAACCATAATTTATCCCTAAAATCAGAGGAAAACCCTTGATTAGACACTAATCTAACCCTTGTTGTAAGCCTAATTTTGAGATAAAATGTACACTTGTGCCTCAAATCTGATTGGCTGATTGGAATGTTGTTCCAGGATCAACAAAGATCTTGATCCAGGAACATGTTGTACTTTGTGAAATCACGTTTACCAATAAGTATAATAATTTAAATGAATCATCTCATTTTATTCCCTTTAAATTCCCATTAGGATTTATTTAGGAAATTATGATACAAATGTCAATAGATATACTCTACAAATTTCATTTAATATGTGTGTTTTGGTTCATCTAATTCACTATTCAGGATCTCAAGGTGAAGTCTTGAATTTTTGTTTGAAATTAATTATTGCTTAAAAATGCACTGAGCTGAAATACTTGGAATACCTTGCAAATATTTCCAAGTAGATATGAGAGACTGAGTGTGTGTGCGCGCAGTGCTTTTAATCTCTGCTCTATGTTCTAGCCGGACGCAGGAACAGATGACAAAGGAAGAGAGAAGCTACTGTATGCTAAAGGAGGGCAGTCACCGGTGAGGAGGGGGGGGGGAGATAATTTGAGAGTTTACTGTGTGTTTGCCTAGGAGAGAGCAAGCTAATCAACTTAACCAGAAGAGGCGGGGCTTTAGGGATAATGCAGTTAGTTCTCAGCTGTCAGTCATCGAGTGGTCACTGTGCTGACCTCCGTCGGACCCCACCTGGCCACCCGGCTCATATCCGTCTTTCTCCTTATCTCACCCCGCATTAGCGCTCTCTTATCTTTTTCTTCTTCTTTCGGGCCATTTAATTAATTCTATAATGAATTACACAGTCCAACAGAGAGCCCGTTGGCGCCTTGTTTTTCCCATTTGAAATGAGCAGTTGGGTCGCAATTTCACTTGATGTGATTTTGCGGATTTTTGTTACTGTCATTGTGCCCTTGTGTGTAGTGTCAGGCCCGCGCCGCATACACACATCACACGTATGCGCTCAAACACTGTCTCTGGTGTACACGCTTACTACACACGGCACTCAAAGCAGATTACCTCTCTGGGTATTCCACACTAGATTATACTGGATTAGAGTCAGAGCTGGATTAAAACACACAAGTTAGAGTGGTGTCCTTCCTCTAATCAAAGACACATGTTCACTGTTTATGTGCGTGTACCTGAGAGAGTGTAGAGTTTTAATTCAGATTTCATGCGTGTGCGTCTGGGGGAAGGGGGGTTAGGATCCGTGCTGTTCATTAACTTCAGCATGCACTTCAATCCAATCACCCTTACCTGCATTAAATGATGAGTTTGTTCCAAGTCCAAAACTATTTCCTATTCTGTTACATAAAACCGCTATACAGCTGTAGATTTTGTAAACTAATTTGTAAATATAGCCAGCTACACCATACTGTATATCGGAAGCCAAAGTGGTAATGGTCAATATTAGCATATTTTTATGATTAAGATGCTAAATTAAAGTCAAGTCAAGTCACCTTTATTTATATAGTGCTTTTTTACAATACAGAATGTTTCAAAGCACCTTTACAGTAATAACAGGAAATTAATGCAACAAAAGGGGCTTTCACACCAGAGGAACCTTTTCATAGTTCCTAGGGCTATTGGCGGAAGTACCTGTTTTTTGGCGTGTTCGCACAGCAGGAACTAGGAACGATTTTAGTTTAGCTAACTAGTTTAGCTCCTACTTCAGAGTAGGGTCTAAACCAGCACTATATGAACTAATAACGTATTAGACAGGACTGTTAGACAGATCGTAAACTAATGAACATAGAGAATGCGAGCACGGTGTGCTCTGGCGTTCTCAGCGTCGTCAAAATTAGTTCTCGGGGAACCACCCTGGTGGCTAGTTCCTAGAACTACCCAGTGCGAAAGCCCCCATTGATTGTTTTGGCTGTACAGCAGCTCTAGAAGAAAGTCATTGTCCAGTTTAATTAAGTTCAGCATTGATTCATTTTCATTAGTTATTAAGTTAGGGGCTGTTTACACGACACCGTTTTCAACTGAAAACAGAAAACTTTTACGCAAACTTTAAAATAGGTTTCATAGTGCAAGTTTTTAACGAGTTTTGAAAACGACAGCGTTTTATTAGCAAAATCCATATAATAATCAGTTTTAAGGCCCTTTAACACCACAGATGAGAACTACAATGATAACGATAACTATACAGTTTTAATAATCGTCCACATCACAATTGGAACAGTACAACAGTAACACCACAGAGGAACAATGCCATTGGAATCACTTTCAGAAAAAAACATTGACAGCCATTCAGAATCCATTCTGCTGTAAAGAGCAGCTCAGACCATTGGTGTGGATGCTAAAATAGTTATCGTTATTGCTACCATTCTTGGTGCGAACAGGCTTTTATTCTTTTTTTTTTTACTTTTTCCAATATATGCTATTTTATTTAACTATTCATCTTTGTTTATTTTAGTGCTGTCAAATCGATTAACTGCGATTAATCACATTAACATAAAAGTTTGTGTTTACATAATATATGTGTATATATATATATATTATTAAATGTATACATATGTCTGTGTACATATACTGTATATATATATATATATATTTACACACACACATTATTTTATTTTTTATTCATTGATTTTACAAAAACAGTTAACATAATTATTTCGACAGTACACTATGTTTTGATGCCAGATTTTCCAGAAAGATGTAAAAATTCTAGATAAGAGATTTAGTGTGAACATTGTTGATGTTCTGTTAAAAAAAGGGCAAAATAGTATACATTTATAGTATGGGCCATCATATTGGCTATTAGCATAACATAAAATTATTATTGCTTATCAGTATCTGGCAAAAATTTCATTCATGTATTGTTTTCTCCCAGTAGATAGTGTATTCATGTGTCTGATATGGTGAGCATATGGAGTAACATGCTGTTGTTCTTGTAGCTTGCCTCAGAGTCTTTGTCATGGACTGACCGGCTGCCAGGATATTGCATCAACATATCCTCTATCCTCCTTATGGTGGGTACCTTTCCTAAAAAGAGCATGTGTCACATTAGTGTTTTTATATTGTCAAAATTCGTATTGATCTGTTTTCTCAGGTTGGGGTCACGTTCTCTGCCGTGTCCGGAGTGATTCTCTACCGCATCATTGTGTTTGCTGTTATGTCAATGAACCCTGATCACGAGGCCAAGGCTAATGTGCGTGTTACCGTGACAACCACTGCTGTCATCATCAACTTGCTGGTGGTTCTGGTGCTGGATGAGATCTACGGCGCTATAGCGGCCTGGATTACAGAGCTTGGTGTGTGTTTACATGTCAAAAAGATGAAATTTGAAGAAAAAAAATTACTTAAATTACTTAAAAAAAGATTAACAATGATGATTGTTATGAATATGATGTTAACTTGCAGAGATTCCAAAGACTGAATCGACATTTGAGGAACATGTGATCTTGAAAGCTTTTTTGCTGAAGAGCATGAATGCATTTGCACCTGTCTTCTATGTGGCCTTCTTTAAGGGCAGGTAAAATGGAATCCCATTAGCATACCCACCCAAACCATTGTGACGTTCTGTCTTTGTTGAGAGCTATGATAATTGGATTATTATAATGTACTTTGTTACCGTTTGTCATGTCCAGTGTGTTGCAGTGTAGTTGTGTGCTTTCTGTAGTACTGTGTTTATTGTATATTGTAGCGTTTGTCTCACTGTAGTGTTATGTGTTGTTTTTATACTGTATACTGTAGTGTTGTATGTCTGTCCTGTGTACTGCATTGTTGAGAAAGTTATTTGTTGTTTATATTGTATATATCACTTTGCAGTGAGCATTTGTTTCATACGAACATTTTATATGAGCAAAACATTTTTAACCTAAAATCACAAACATTTTGAGAAAAAAAAGATACTCTAGAGTAATTTTCTATTTTTTTCTTCTTCTATCTACTAGTTTGATTTTTGACTATATTTTCCATGCTCTTTTATATAATTTTTGAGTCGTGTCTCGTGCATTTGAATGAAAGCTTTTTTCTATAAATTATTTTTGTAAAATATTATCATATTTTATTAATAAATTTCCAGCTGCGTATTACAATTGTATAACAAGTTCTTTTGTGCTGTCTGTGTGTTACATGTATGTCTATATAGTTGTAGTTTTCGATGTAGTTTCTCACTGTGTAGTGTGTGTGGCATCAGTGTCTAACACCAAAATGCTAAATTTCTGGGTTAGCTTAGTTTAATCCAGAGAATAATTTAAAATATCTCTCATAACTCTGGTGTGCTAATTTAGGTTTGCCGGTCGTCCTGGTGACTATGTTTATGTCTTTAAGGATTTCCGCATGGAAGAGGTAATTATTAAAACAACAACATATTTGTCTTCAGTGTTCTAGCACAATGCAACTAACTATTTGCATGTACATGTGTTTTTTTGTCTAGTGTTCTCCAGGTGGCTGTCTTATTGAAGTGTGTATTCAGCTGGGAATCATTATGCTGGGGAAGCAGCTTATTCAGAATAATGTGTTTGAAATTGCCATTCCGTAAGTGTTTTACACACATACTGTATACACACGCAAAGTCTTCCCTGTGGTCTCTCTGCTAATTTTCTTTGATTCCTTAAAGTACCCCTAGTCTATAAAGGAAGCCCCTAACTCTCTTGTTCAATTAAAATTTGATTCTCAGCACTGTTTAACATTACCAAAGCAGTGCACAGTGAGTAATGGAGGAAGTATTGGTTTTAAAATGACACAGCTGCGCTGAAATTCGGCTTGACATTACAGGAAGCTGAAGAAGATGTATCGCACATATAAGGAGGAGAAAGATGGATCGGCAGATGAGGAGGACAAAGACTCCAAACGAGAACCGCAGCGCTGGGATTTGGACTATGATCTGGAGCCATATGAGGGTTTAAGCCCAGAGTACATGGAGATGGGTGAGTATCACATGCTCGAACTGAACAATTTGCTCAAATGACTGCTACATTTGGTGCATCGCTTTCATTATTCTACTTGTTTTGAATGCCGTGCATCCTAAAAATGTTTAGCAGCATGTCATAACTATGTGCTTGGTACATAACTTGAAAGTCTTATTTGGCTTTTTAATGTTTTTTTTAAAGTCATCCAAAAATTACAGTTTTTTTAAACACATTCCTGTGAATGATTCATCACCAGTGAACTTTATTCACAATAGTTCTTCAAAATATAATGACACACTCTATCACATTATTTAAGTAAAATGTGAATGCCGTTTAGTTGGCTCTGACAGTTTTAGTTTTGAGGTAAAATAACTAAGTATAATTGTTAGCCACATCACTACCTCAACTCTGGGTGCTACGGTCCAATCAGAATTAACGTTAGGTTTTGCACTCTGAATTGTCACATAGCTTTTAGTAGCCTGTACAACTAAGAAGCTTAGTCTACATTTTGAAAGCAAGATCTTGTTAAAGTAATCCTGGCTCTTATTTAATTACATTTTAATTTGTTTAAAAATAGACAAGTTTAAACGAAAGACTTGTTCACACTAGACATGTTATATGGTTATACAATGTATCACGATAATGAACATGCACGATATTGTTATCGTGGGCACTTAAAAATACAGTGAATAATTATTTATTACAAATTATTCCGATTTTTAGAATGTATTTTAAGAATGCTTTTCCCATCAACTGGTTAAAATGCACAACACCGCTGCCTCAAAGAGGCAAGCACACTCTTATGTAAACAAGCCCAACAAGCATGAGAAGCATTGGCAGAACGAGTGAAGGAGACGTAATGACGTAATGCACATTCACTCTCTGACAGTAGATGGCGCTGATGGAACAAAAGACATGCAGCGGTTACTCCGGTAACCCCGTAAACAAAGCAGCTGCTCATATTTTTGTATTCGCAATGGCGTTCATCGCAGCACCAAATACTTAATGGCTTAATAGGCTATTTATTTTTAAATTTTTACATTTTAATCTGGAATACAACATGCCCTAGCCTAGATATTGTTTGAAAATGTTTTGATTATTTATTATTGTTCAGTAACACTTTACAATAAGGCTCAATTAGTTAACATAAACTGACAATGAAATGTACTTCTAAAGCATTTATTAATCTTAGTTAATTTTCAACATTTAATAACACATAATTAATAACATTATTTTACTCTATTTATTTAATGAACCTGAGCTAACATGAACGAACAATGATCAGTTGTATTTTTTTTAACATTTACAAAGAGTTATCATTTCTGCAACAAATATAGCTGTTGCTCATTGTTAATGTTAGTTAATTTATTAACTAATGTTAACAATTGATACCTTATTGTAAATTTGTACCTTCTGTTTGAAACATTTGTTTACGTTATACAGTTTTTGTGTATTGCTTTATTGTATTTAAATGTTCAGTTATTTTTGTTAATATAACAAGTTTAATCAATTTTTTCTTATATGACAACACTTTCTTTTGCAACTTATTTCAATATCATGATAATACCGTTTACTGTGATGAAAAACTTAAAAGCTAGTAAATAATAAATAGGGAAAAAACATATTACAAGCAATAAACAAAGAGTGCTTTCAGTATTTAAGAGTAGGCTATATATCTGAACGTTTTTTATTAAAGAGATGAGAGTGATTTTTCTCATTTTACTGTTTGATTATTACTGATAAAATCATACACAGCGGGAGATCTAATAAGCTGCATTCACATTATGCACAGATCTCTTTTGAAATATTAAATCCTGCTGTTTAATCCTTTAAGACATAACTGACTGTTTACATTCATTTCGCGTCATAAAATCATTTTGAGATGCAAGTACATTTAACCACTTACACAGAGTCGCACACAGTCACATGTGCGAACGCTCTTCACAAAGCGCGCGTGAGTATTTGAAATCGAAAGGTTCGATAGGTGTGTGTGTAAGGAATTGGAAGCAAGCAGAATACGGGTGTTTTAAAACACACACAGCATCATTTGGCATCTGTGGTTAAAAACTAAGCTCAGAATCGTTGGAGAGAGAATCTTTTCTCCCACCCCTATTGTATAGTATATTCCAACACAATATTAAATACGGTAGATTAAAAATAAAATGTTCTTTCCTGTAGGCCAGGCCTATATGCATAGCCTGCAAAGTTGATGCTTTTCACCAAAGCTCTCGCGTGTCACGTGACTAGAGTGTAATCGCAGCCTTTGCGGTTAAACAATCTTGTTTTATCATATCATATGATATTATCGCAAATGCAATTAATCGTTCAGCCCTAGTTAAAATGATAGCCCACAAAAAGCTTGCGATCCAAGTTGTCTGTGTGCTGATTTGCAGAAAAAAAGAATATGAAGGAGAGAATGGTTGCTTCAAGAAGCCATGCTTGCCAATGTTTTATTGCAGATCTATGACTCTTGAAATTCTCCCTTGCCCTGTATCTTGCTCTCTCATTATTAGCTGTAGGCCGTTGTCAATGTAATTTCAGGCAAAACACATTTCACACTGCAAGACTCTGAGTCATAGAAAGGTCCAGATATTTAGCATGCTAAATATCTCACGATCATCGACAACACATTGGCGCTTCTCTCAGGTTGCGTCTTCGATCATACACACTACGTGATTGTCACTCACTTGAATTAGCACCGATTTGCCTCCGATTTCGGATATTTGTGTTCGATTTCCACATAACTGTCGGTGAGTGAAAATCAGGGCTAAAATCGTGCGATGTAACCGACATAAGCGAATAGCAGAGGAAGAATCCGGAACAGGTGTTCTGTCAAAGTCTGTTTCCTCTTAGGTTAGTGTTCCCTGTAATGCTGCCACGCAAACTGCTCATTGCACTGGTGTTTCGCTCATGGTGAGAGATGTTGTTAAAGTGCTTTTGTCAGGGATCCCGATGAAGAGCGCATTGCAGTAGTCCAGTCTGGAGGAGGAGATGTGAGAGGAAATGACAAAGGTGTGGAGAAGCTTTTCCGCATCTGCAAGATTAAGCATAGGACGGAGTTTGGCGATATTCTTAAGGTGGAAGAAGGAGGTCTTACACAGATGTTTGATGAGAGCATCAAAGTTGATATGAGAATCCATTTTAACACCCAGGTTGTTGACTGATGTTAAAAGTGGAATATCCTGGCCAGAGAAAATAATGCTAGTGATGTCTGATGTCCGGACCTGATGAGGGGTACTCCTAGAATAGCTTCTGTCTTTGAGCTGTTTAACTGCAGGAAATTTGTCTTCATCCACGCCTTTATTTCCTCCAGGCAGGTGGTCAGAGTGGATGATGACAGTGCAGCAGAGGGGGTTGAATTTGTCCTGAGATAGAGTTTAGAGTTAAGCGTATTTGGCTTGCTGTCCGCAGTGGAGGGGCTCAGAGATGCAGCTTCAACTTGAGCTTAGATATACCCCCCAGTGGGACTACTAATGCTTGGATGATGAGTATGGTAGCAACTAGCAAGATGCCTAAATTATGTTGGTGGAGTTGGGAAGGTGGAGGGATGCCAAAACAGCTTATGCCAGAGCAAGGTGAGCGGCTGCTTATATGCTCCGGCAGTTAATTGAAAGATTAGATGGGTTCACTCGTCATGAATTTACGTTGTGAACTTCACATAATGTTTCCTGGGGTGCACTCATAATGTTAGTATGATTTTTAATTGTCATAATTTAGAAATAAAAGGCATTTTTCCTACCCTGATTTGATCCCTCTGATTTGAACGCTGATTTGAAAGGGGTGTGTCTGCTGTGAGACTTCAGTGTGAACGCCCGCTGCGGTGATTGGCTAACATCTTTGCATATGAAATAGCTAGTATTATATGTATTACACTTTCTTTGATCACTTTCTATATATAATTTAATCAGTTTAAATAACAGATTATTTTCATCCTACTAAGAAAAACTATGTGAATTTGACCGTTTAGTCACTGGTTTGATTTACTGACACATAGACAAAGAACATCTGACAGTACATGAATCATTACATTTCAGAAATCACTGCTCACAGATTAGGAATTAGAATGAAAACTTTGTAAAAGTCTGTTTGCAAAGCCTGCACTGAAATTGCGACTGATTTAGCAAAGAATCCACTGTGAAATGTACCGAATACAAATAAATTATGCTCAACTGAGACATTCACATTGTTGAAAATAAATAACCACTTTCCTAGCATTAGGATCCTTTGGAAGGTAATGTTGTTTTTAGTCCAGTGATTCAACATGCCAGTGGGCGGGGCCAAAGTTGCAATGATGAAGTAGGCATTGATTCTCTTCTGTAGAGGCGGTCTTTCACCTAGATAGGCACATTCCACAACGAGTCGTTCGCTGGGCTTGGTGACAATAAAAGCTGTTTTTGGACTAACAAGGAAGTTTTCAGCTCTGAAATTTGCAGGAAATTCTCATAGTATGATGACCTATTATATGTCAAAAGCTCAAGGAAAATTAGATTTCTCAGTTCATGACCCCTTTAAGCATTGTACGCAGTGAAGACTGCCACTTGATTAGTGTTGTCACGATACCCAAATTATGATTTCACTCTTCAGGTGTGTGGTAGCGTACCGTAGCGCATGAGTATGACATTGATTTTTTTTTTTTTTAAGGCTTATTCCACTTAATAACTCTTTTTAACATCAAGCACGTCCCTGGCTTTATTTTCTCATTCATACATTTTTCTTTAACGCTCTAACGTGTCAATAACTTTTCGCATGCAGTCCTCTGCTGCATGGATAAAAAAAGTTTGGCATAGTCAGTGTTCCTGCAGGGAGTGGAAGCAGAGCCCTGCTGTCGCATGTTGACACAACTCAGGAAATGCGGCTCTTACTAAAACACTGTCTTAAAGTACTGGTACCAGTAAAATAAAATCGTACTGTTTTTAAAAGCAGAGTATCGTGATACCTTTGTAGTGCCGGTATATCTGGCAACACTACACTTCCTTTGCTTTACTTTCTGTCAAAACGTCTAAGTCACTTTGGTAAAAAAAAGAAAAGAAAAAACATTTAAATATTAATGCATCAAGAAAGAAATGACTCCAGGCTGTAACAGAGAATCTGGCAGTGGTCGGTAACCTTTTGTAACAGAGAGAGAGCAAATATTACATGTGTTATTTTATTTAGTTGTGTATTTTGAAATCCCAGCCATCTGCAAGGCAAAATAAGTTAGTAATACTTGCAGTAATTCTTCACTGTAGTCAAACAGCTGTATGGGAAGCCACAGTGACACAGTGATTAACAAGAAATATAAAAAATATCAAAATCTATGCCAATGGGTCCCTGATGTATGTGTTTGTTTGTCTGCAGTTATTCAGTATGGATTTGTCACACTCTTTGTGGCCTCCTTCCCGCTGGCACCAGTCTTCGCTCTGCTTAATAACGTCATTGAAATCCGACTAGATGCGGCAAAATTCGTGACTGAAATACGCCGACCGGATGCAGTCAGTGCTAAAGAGATTGGTATGAAATATAGCAGCAAATTTGGACAGACTTACGGTACTCATGGTTACATTTAACATGACTGTTATTCATTCTAGTTCACACTGTTGCATATTTATATTTCTTTTCACAGGCATATGGTACAACATCTTGAGTGGAATCAGCAAGTTTGCTGTCATTACTAATGTGAGTGTTAAGACAGAGATTGTGACTTATGATGAAAAAATATATATATATATATATATATATATATAGTTGCTGGTGGTTGTTAGTATGATTTATCTCATTGCATGCAGATATTTTAACGTTTTTTTTCCCTCTTTCTATCTTTATTCCCTCAAGGCATTTGTGATCTCCTTTACATCGGAGTTCATTCCTCGGATGGTGTATCAGTATTTGTACAGTGAGACAGGCACCATGCATGGCTTTACCAACCACACACTGGCTTATTTCAACACAAGCAACTTTAAACCTGGTACTGCCCCACATGACACTGATTTTGACAGACAACTCCGTATTTGCAGGTACACACAACACACATGCATACACATACTCATGTGAACTGTACTCTCCTACATACCTGATATCATTCTCTCTCTCCTCGAACAATTCCTCATCTTCATAGGTACAAAGACTATCGAGATCCACCCTGGTCTCCCGAATCTTACCAGCTTTCTAAGCAGTACTGGTCTGTGCTTGCTGCACGCCTGGCTTTTGTTATTTTTTTCCAGGTCAGTTTTTGTTACTGCTTTTCTTGTTGTTCAAGGAACATTGTAGGTTAAATACAACTTAATCTCTCTGTGCCTTAAAAAAATAAATAATTTAGTCTGTGCAACATTTTTCAACGAATGTCATGGCCATGTCATCCCGATATCTTTTACATGATATCCATGCAACGATAGCAGGAAGAGTCGTGATATAATATCCCTGAAGCTTTTGTTCATATGTCCATATAATCTTTGCATGATGAAGGTAAACAGATTTTGCTTTCTGTTCAGAATGAGGGGGCTCAAGCTGTCTAATTTCCCCCCTTTGAACTACTGGTAGAAGATTAAAATAGAGCTGAAATATTATAAATAAAAGTGGAGGTGAGGGGGGGGGGGGGGGGGGATGCCGGATGCCGGATGCCGGAAGAACTGTGACCTAACTAACAAAAGCCTATTTACCCGATTGACAGATGGACATTATTTTAGAATTCCATATGTACATGCAGAAAATACCAGCAAATAGTATTTATAAAAATAATGAACTCTGCATATTTATTTTTAAAACCCAACATACCCTATATAGGCAGTGTTAACTTTTACAGTTTTTCTTTGTCATTGTTATTGTCTTATGATAAAAATGTCCATTAAATTAAAGTATTAGTCCATCTTCTAGTTTTTATTTGACTAAAATGGCATATGATTTTTGTTAATGACTAGAATTTTCTGATAATATGCAAAATAACAAAAATGTGTCAAACTGTAACAGACCAAACTTTGACCAAATGTTAAAAAAAAATTTATAAACATTTATTAATTACTTAGTTAAACATAAGAATTATCAACATAAAATATAACCGTCTCGGTTACGTATGGTAACCCTCGTTCCCTGAGGAGGGAATGGAGACGTCTCGTTGGAGGAGTTTCCAACGAATTGAGATCATGCTAGGGAGACCAATTGCCTTCGAGTGAACTAAAACGAGCCAATGAACATTGGCATGCAGGACTTGCATTCCGCACCATAAAGCGGAAGTGAGCGCACACACATATGCTTTTCGCTGAGGAGTCGGACGGTGTCCAGTCCTCCGCGAAGGTACAGCAAGCATGGCGACGGGACGAGACGTCACCATTCCCTCCTCAGGGAACGAGGGTTACCATACGTAATCGAGATGCTCCCTTTCGTTCGCTCGAGTTTCCAACGAATTGGGATCCCTATTAAACGCCATGGTGCTGGCCCCTTCCAGCACCCAGCTTAGCTTCCCACCGTAAAGAAAACTAAGAAACTGCTTAGGCGGGAAGCTAAGCTGGACGCTGGAAGGGGCCAGGAAGAATCCTAGGAAGAATCACACTGCTGTTCAGCAAGACCCGCTCAGTGGATTTGGATAACACTGGGGAAACGTGCCCAACCCGTAGGAGGGAACGCTGCGGAGCCCCTGCCCGCCCGAGGGGAGGTACTGGAATACACATATGTACTAACCCGTGGGGTAGTGAAACATATGGCAGCCCCTGAGGTAGTCCCAGCCCGAGGGGTGGGAGCGTACTCAGCAGGGACGACAGAACAGGTCTGACGAGGGAAAGACACGGAGCTAACCTGGAGGGTAGCTGGAACGTGGAAAAAATGGGTCTCCGTGGGGGCCACTGTAAGGCCACCCAGTCTAATAACAACTCTACGAGAGGTAATAGACCTGGCGCCGGGCGAACCGGCTCGCCTGGTGCTGGAGGGGTGATGGAGGAACTCACGAGGTTAACCGTATGTTGGAGATCCAACTGAGCAAAAAGATGCATGTATCCGGCCCATGGGGCGGGAATGCCGTAGCAAGCCGACATGACCTAATTCCTCGCGCTACTGGCCATAGCGAGTACACGGCAGGAAACAGGTTCAACACAGAGGCTATAAAATCTAGCGAACGTGTTAGGTGTCGCCCAGCCCGCAGCTCTACAGATGTCCGTCAGCGAGGCGCCTTACACCAGAACACCAGGCAGAGTTTGCTCTTGTCCCAGTTGACCTGAAGCCCCAAACGGCTGTGTTCGCACAACAGATCTCGCGAGTGAGCTATTATAAGCCAGTCGTAGAGATAGTTGAGAATGTGAACGCCATGTTCTCTCATGGGAACAATGTCTCCACGACTTTCGTGAAGACACGGGGCAACAGGGCCAAGCCGAAAGGTAGGACCTTGTACTGATATGCTCGACCCTCAAACGCAAACCGAAGAAACGGTCTGTGTCGAGGAAGAATCGAGACATGAAAGTACGCGTCCTTCAGGTCGATCGCTGCAAACCAATCCTGGGGACGGATGCATTCGAAGATGCGCTTCTGCGTGAGCATTTTGAACGGGAGCTTGTGTAGGGCTCGATTTAAAAACTCGCAGCTCCAAGATCGGCCGTAACCCACCACTTTTCTTGGGTACAATGAAGTAAGGGCTGTAGAACCCAGACCTCATCTCGGCTGGAGGGACCGGCTCGATCGCGTCCTTCGCCAGCAGGGAGTCGATCTCTTTCCTCAAGACGGGCATCGACGCTCCGCACTTGGGTGAAGCGGATGCCCCTGTACTTGGGGGGCCGGCGGGCAAACTGAATTGCATAGCCAAGCCGGATGGTATGGATGAGCCAGCGGGACGGCCTCGGAACCATGCTTCGAGAGACCATACCAACGAGCCCACCCAGACCACCGGCGTACCCACGGAGGGGCAGCGAGGTGGAAGGCAGGGACCGGACTCTGGAGGCATTGCTGCGGCCGAGAGAGGGGTCTGGGTGTGTGGGGCAACACCTACCTGCTTCCACCGGGGGCCAGACAGCAGGGAAGGCCCGGAGGTGTTCGGCTGCTGGCTGTCCCAAGGCGGAGGAAGGAGGGGAAACAAGGAGCGAGGCCCGGGGGCGTCGAGTCCTGGTTTCCGCGCCTCCTTGCCCAGTGGGAGACGAGAGTGACAAGGCCATAGCGGCATCACTGACATCTAAGTGCTGGGGCAAGGGGAATGAGAGCGGCGAGGCAACGTGGCGGTGCACACTGTCATTCTGGCCTTCTTGGACGGAGGAAACTGGGAGCGGCGAGGCAATTGAGCGTCGACCTGGACTGCCAGTCCCGACCGTGAGTGACCCAGAGGAAGTAGAAACTGTTTTTTTATTAACAAACAAACAAACAAATTTTTAAAAAACAGAAACAAAAGGAAAAGGAAGATTCTCCACCCGGCCCCCCTTCGGGGGAAGGAGAGGTGCAGAGGCACCCTCCCGAAGAGCAGCCATCACGTCCTCTGGTTCTCAGGGTCGCTTACCTCTCCTCTTACTGGGGGGCTTAGACGAACTCCGAGCGGGCTGGGCACCTCTCTTGCGGCCGGCACCCTGCTGCTGGCTGCTGCTTAGGCTGGGCAGGGGCGGAGGCGGCGGCGGCGGCAGAAGGGCGCCCTCGGTGACGAGCAGCCGATGGGGACGGGGCAGCCACAGCCTGTCTCCGGGGCATGATGTTCTTGATGACCTCCGACTGCTTCTGGGCGACGGAGAACTGTTGGGGCGTAGCTCTCCACCGAGTGGACATCGCCCGGCCCAGGGAACGTGCGGTGACTTTCGTCGCCCGTAGGTCGAGGTCCGTCGCCGTACGCAGCTCTTGGAGCACCCCTATGTCGGTACCACTCTCCTGCATGTCACAGAGAGCCTTTGGCCTGGTGGACCTGGAGGAACGCCATGGCATCCAGGGCAGAAGCAGCTTCTACACACGCACTGTAAGCCTTTCTAGTCAGACTGGAAGAGAACCTACATGCGTGGGAGGGCAGCGAAGGGTTACCCCGTCAGGTGGACGCGGTCTTGCCACAGACCGATCCACTGGGGGGTTGCCTTCGTATCCCTTCACTGCCCCACCCTCGAGAGTGGTGAGGGAGGAGGAGGGAGTCGACCTGTGTCTGGCCGCCAGAGGGGCCGTCCATGATCTCGTCACCTCCTCATGCACCTCCCGAAAGAAACGAACCACGGCGGAGCGCTGAGAACCAGCACGGTTCCACACGAACCCGACACTCTCGGCCGCCCGGGCAAGCATAGCGGCCATTTCCGGATCTGGCTCGGACAACACTACCACACCCGAAGGGGGCAGCGCAGCTGAGTTGTCATCCCCAGAAGATGACCGCTCTCCCTCCGATGCAGCGATCGACATCTGGTCCTCCGGCGGAGCCCCGAAGGAAACGACTGGGACCACACGAGATGGCCCAGCGCGCTCCTTCAGGGGCTCCAATGGCAGCGATGCAGATAAGTGGGAAGTCCACGGGGTTCTTTCACCTGGCGGGTCATTCCTCACTGTAACCCTCAGACCACCAATGGGATTAGCCGAAGTAGCCTTTTTCTGGAGTGAACCAGAAGAAGAACTAGATCGGGGAATCACCAAAGGAACTCCCCCTCTTTTGAGGGTTTGCAGTCTAAGTCTAAGTCTCAGCACCGCGACGGTCATGTTCCCACAGTGAGAACATGACTCGTTCACGAATGCTGCCTCAGCGTGCGCGAGGCCCAAGTACGAGAGGGAACAATCATGACCATCAACCGGAGGCAGAAGTTGACCGCATCCAGAAACACACGGGTGAAACGTCATCCTGAAAAGGACGCGATCTTTACCCATGTTGCTCTTTCCACAGAAAAAACGCTCTCTTATTGTGCTGAAGCACACAGGGATGAACGTGGCAACACAGCGGGGAAACGGCAAGCCCGCTGTGTGCACTCAACCGAATACCATCTGTGACAACAGCTCTTTGAAAAAAAAAGCAGATCGCGTGAAGCAACAGCTGGCACCCGGGAGATTGCGAAGATTGCTGAAGCGCCGGGACACCAACACAGAGAGATCTCGAGGAAACAGCAGACTCGTTGAGCGTGAAGATAATCTCAATCTTGAAGCTCATCCACTCAGAGGACACAACCGGTTGACTCCGAAGCAAAAAGCATATGTGTGTGCGCTCGCTTCCGCTTTATACCCGCACTGGCAGGTGGGGCGTGAAATGCAAGTCCTGCATGCCAATGTTCATTGGCTCGTTTTAGTTCACTCTAAGGCAATTGCTCTCCCTAGCATGATCCCAATTCGTTGGAAACTCCTCCGACGAGACGTAGGAGTTCCAGAACGAAAGGGAACTCCATTTTCTAATTAAATTTAGTCATTGTGAATCTTTTTTGTTTGATCTTTATTATTTTGACAAAAAGAAAAACTCTTTGTCAACAAACCTTTCACTGACAAGATTGAAGTTGGCATGAAACGGGAGTTGCAATGGTATTTTCTTTTCTATTGTGACATATCCAAGTAAAACAACTTTTCTCTAATGCTGTGATCTCATGTGAGTGACAGGTTGTCCCGTCCTCGCACCTAGACAGATAAATCATTTGTAATAAACACTGCAATATTCCATAAAAATAAGACTTGTCAATTTTGATTTCATGATTGACTTTAATGCTTACAGTGGAAGTCTGTTGGACTTGCAAAGTCTATGTTCTTGCAAACTGAGAAACAAATCAAAATTACTTATTAAAAAGCTTAAATTGTATTTAACAAAAAATATTCCTATAATAGTGGACTGGATGTTTGATTCTGTATGTTGTTGTGTTGTAGAACTTGGCCATGTTCCTCAGTATGCTGGTGGCATGGTTGGTCCCAGATGTGCCTCGTTCTCTGAAGGAGCAGCTGAAGAGAGAGAAAACACTCCTGTTGGATATTATGCTCTCCGAGGAGACAGACAAGCAATGCACTCAGTCACACCCACTGACGACTACCAACATTGATGTAGTCATTAAGGGTTTAGAGGAAGGATCACAGGAGGAGCTGCCTGTCTGCAGTGGGGTAATGCTAAGCCAGTCAGATGAAGAGCTGAAAGAATTTCGGGTGACCAACGAAGAGGAGAAAGAGCTTGAGGAAAAATCAGATGATGAACCCATAGCATCCACCAGTGATCTACCTGATGATAAACTTCAACATTCAACCTGTGAAAGTCTCAATTCAACTTCAGAGTCCCTGTCTAAGATAGCCTGTCATGATGAATCGGCCACCACACCATCAGCATGTTCAAACCAGTCCGTTCAATCAATCAAAACCAGCTCACTATCACGGTACTGGGAGTTTGACTCGAATGGACCTCCACCTCGAGACCCAAGTTGCAAGGCTAAGTATCGTTGCCGAACACTTCCACCAAGGCCTGGAGGTCCTGAAGCTGAAGAGCGTGCAACCAGACCCAGCCACTCCTCCACATTCACACACCTCGACCAGAAAGTTCCTGCATCTCCTAAAGAACTCTCCTGGAACGTCCCTAGAGCACTGTCTACAACCAAGCCCTCTGGAAGCCAAACATCTGTCTCTGATTCACTGGATTTAGAGCTCACGTCCAGTCCATCGATAGCACTTCCTCGCCCACCATCCAGACCAGAGCTTTCTAGCGGCCTTTCAACACTCTTACCACGTCCTCCTTCGAAACCAGAGCTCGTGTGCAGCCAGTCAACAGGACTACCACGGCCTCCCTCCAAACCCGAGCTAACTGGAAGCTCAATGAAAGGGATTCCCCCTCATGATCCAGGCTCGAAAGTTAAGGGCCGATGCCAGACTCTTCCTCTGAAGTATAGAGGGTCAGAGACTCCAGGGGAGACGTCAACCAGACCTAGCCATTCCACCACTTTCACAAACCTCAGTCAACAGATCCCTCCTTCAGCCAGTGATCTCAAACGTAACACTCCCGTATGAGTGTGACAAGCCGAAGTGGAGAAACACTCCACCTCTTTAGCACCTTGCATCCAATCACTTTCAGTGCCAGGCAGCCCATGCCATCAACAACTCATCTTTGACTCTCATTGATGACTGAACGAGCATCTTCGGTAGCTCTGGATGTAGATCAATTGTTGATGGCTTGGCGGAGGTTCACTTGGTTGCTAACAAGATGTACTACTCCGGTTTATTGACAAATGGAACTCCTTTTGCACAGAATCATCAACTCATTATTGGTGGACCTAGTGTAGCCAATCCGGCTTGTGCAGTCTGGATATTCTGCTATTCTTCTAGAGCCATTTGACATGGCTTGATGACTCTTAAACATTGTCTTATACTGTGACTTGCCATTCTCTCTTTCACATATACACACTTGTACAGACACACACACACACACACACACACACACACACACACACTCACACACACACACACACACACACACACATCAAATCTCATCCAAATCTTCAACCAGAACTGGTGAGAAGAGAGAGAGGATTAGGAATATGGGCCAAAGGGCTTTGCAGTCCATACCGATTTGTTACTCAGCAAGTGGAACTTTCATTTCATGGTGTTGTTAACATGTACTTAACCAGAATAATAACTAAATGTGAACTTCTTAACATAATACTTCAGCTTCAAAATGAGCCAACTTGTTTGTGGAATTGTCTTTTTGTCTTTGGTGGCAACATCTGTAGTGTCTCATCCTCCATATGACAATTTAGCACGTAGCTTGGCGGTTAGCATGCTCATGACATGATAAAGAAATGTGATGTTGTAATGGATTCATAAGACTTGCAAAGCCAATTACAATGTACATTGCAAATACACTGTAGTGTTTTACATAAATCCCATTTAAGCACTATGCTAGCACAGCTAAAGCTAATGTAAAGCATGCTATATTCACTGTGAAGAGGTTTTCAGGGATTTAGACCCAATCATCACTTTTAAATCATTAAATCAATGCACACCGGCCATGTGCACACTGCCAAGTTTTTAAAGTGTCACCCGCATTTTTTCGGGAATTAATTAAATGATCATTGCATTTGTGTAGAGAATGCAGGTGTCAATCCTACTACACAAAAAAAGCAATAGTTTATGTCTCACAGCTGTAACCAAGAAGTAGTTTAGCCGGTTTGGTGTTTTCTATTTTCCACAAAATAATATTAGCATCTGGTAATTTTTAATACATCATTAGTTGTCTGTCACACTCTGTGTATACAGAATAGGATTAAAAGATTAGTTCACCCAGAATGAAAATGATGTCATCATTTACTCACCCTGATGTCGCTCCAACCAATATTTTCTTTCATCCCTGGAACACAAAATAAGAAGTTCTGTTGATTAATATAATAAAAGTGAATGGTTAGCCTATTTATACTTCATAAAATCTAAAAAGTACCAAAAGCAACAAAGTAGTCCAATGTATGCTTGTATGCTGTATTCTGAAGTCATTCAACAGCTTGAATGACAAACAAACATTTTGGGGTGCACTATTAAAACAACTGGAGTGACAACTGTATTTAGCTGCAGTGTGGGCTTGGCCACTGTGTATTAAAATCTGTGTTGAGTTGCAGGTGTGTATATGCGTTGTGCTACCAGGGATCCATTAGCTAAGAACAGTTACAAACCAGCATTCACATAGAACATTCATGTCCATGTTACAGTATTTCTAGAAATATTGATAAACTTTGAAATATTTTGATATTATAATGAAAAAAAATACTGTTCATAATAAAAAGTGGAAAGGAAGAAGTTTGTTAGTTTTTTATTTACCATCATCTCGTATCCAAAAAACTGGCACTGGAAAAAAAATACACACAAAAAAAAATTTTTATGTTAAAATTTGTTTAATATGGATTAAAAAAATATATAAAATAAGACTAGATACTATAATAATATAATATTGACGAAACAGATTTGGTAAACACTCCATTGCGTTTTTGAGTTTGCGCTCTGGAGAACGTGAAATGTTACATCGTTTTGCAGCGGAGAGAAATGTAGATCACGAACATGTTCCCTTTCGAACGGTCACTTGGGTGGGGGAAACTCCTTTTCCTCGATTTACTGAAGCTTATATGTAAAACTCATTTGCAGCTGCACAGCTCGCACATTGAGCGTCTGGCTCGCTCATAGGCTGTGCTGCGGCTACTGCACATTCAATGGCGCGGGCGCGAGCCAAGGGGGCCGAATTCACCATTATAGCAGATTTTACTCCTTCAGCGACAACTTCACGTCTCTGACTGTTTACTAAGCCTTCGCCGTTGAACAAGCCCTTCAGCCTGAGCGAGCCTCATTTTCAGTAGACTATGCCTTCTCAGCAGTTTTCTCCTGATGCTGTCTCACCTGTGGCTATCCGGCGACGACGCTATATCCTTTACTTTCTATTTCAAGTGTATTGAGTGTGCGAGAAGTTGTTTCAAATGCCTCGCTCATCTTGTGCCACGTGCGGATGCAATCTGCACGAGGCCGACGAGGACACGAGCTGCATCTCATGCCTGGGGATCGACCACGCCGAGACTGCACTCGCTTCCGGTGGCTGCTCGGCCTGTGACAGCATGCCCATCTCCGTGCTGCGAACGCGGCTAGCTCTCTCACGAGATGGCGACGCCGCTTCACCCGCTCTTTCTTTTCCGCTCCAGCCAAGGAAGAAGAAGCACCGCAGCCAGCGGCAGCCTGAGAACATAGACGTTAGCGAGCGCACGCCGGCCACGTCCCCGCGTGCCTCGTTTTCTCCCGCTCAAACGCCCTCTCCAGTCATGTTCGCGGGAGATCAGCGCCCCCCCACCCACGTGGCGGGCCTTGTCTCCTTCAGCGTATCCATCGAGGGACACGGCGACAGCCTCTCCATCGCCGCATCTGAGGAGGAATGGCCGGGCTCTCTCAACCCACCATCGCTTCCCAGTCTGCCGCCAGCGTTTCAGCAGTTAGGACTAACTCTGACGTGGAGATGCTTCGGATCCTGACGAAGGCCGTCTCGGACCTCGAGTGGGCCTCCCCCGCGGAGCCTCCTCGAAGCCGGCTGGATGGCTGCTTTCTGGCGGGTTGCCAGCAAGCCCCTCGTCACAGGCCTGCGCCAAGGCTTGGCGCGCTCCTTATTCTGCACGTGTGGGATCTTCACTTTCCGCAACGCTCTCCTCCATGGACGGCGAAGCAGAAAAGGGCTACGAGTCTGTGCCGCCCCTCGAAGAGGCCGTGGCCGCTCATCTTTGCCCGAACACAGGTGCTAGCTGGCGAGCTAGAGCTGCGCACCCAAACAAGCCCTGCCGAAACACTTCAGCCCTCGCTGGACGCGCTTATTCCGCCTCCGGTCAGGCTGCTTTGGCCCTGCACACGATGGCCGTGCTGCAGGTTTACCAGGCCGAACTCCTCCGGTCCATGGACGAGTCTGGCCCGGACCCCGAGGCCTTCAGCGACCTCCGAAGCGCCACGGACCTAGCCTGGCGGGCTACCAAGGCTACTGCACAGGCTATCGGGAGGAATATGGCAAGTTTGGTCATGCTAGAGCGCCACCTTTGGCTGAACCTCACCGAGATTAAGGATGCGGACAGAACAAGGTTCCTCGACGCCCCTGTATCCAGCTCCGGCCTCTTCGGCCCGGCGGTGAAGGGTTTCTCGGAGAGGTACACCAAAGCGCAGAAGTTGTCCCAAGCTATGCAACACTTTCTGCCGAAACGCTCGAGCTCCGCTTCTAGCAGGCCCAAGCCCACCCCGCCTTCGCCTCATCCAGCCAAGCTGGCGAGGCAGGTCTCTCAGCCCCCTCCCTGTTGTTACACTGACTTCCCCCCCCCAGGCAAAAGCCTGTACAGTCAGTCCAACACTCAGTATGTGCACAAATCACAATATAAGGGTATCAGGTCCCCCTATGTTAGGCAGCCCATCCCAATCTGTGTGTCAAACCCTAGCCACACAGGTGCTGGCCTGGTAAGCCATCCCAATGTGTCGAGTTGGGTCATAAACACCATAAAGCGAGGCTACTCGCTCCAATTCGCTCGCAGGTCCCCGAAATTTCAGGCGGTTATCGAGACTTCGGTGAGAAGCAACGTGGGTCATGTGCTTCCTGCCGAAATACTAAATCTGTTAGCAAAAGGGGCAATAGAGCTAGTCCCCCCCGCGCTAAAACACTTGGGTTTCTACAGCCGCTATTTTCTAGTCCCGAAAAAAGACGGCGGTCTCAGACCCATTCTAGATTTGAGACGTTTGAACAAGGCTCTCATGAGACGGCCTTTCAAAATGTTAACTATCAAACACATCCTCACGCAAGTTCGCCCGGGGGACTGGTTTGTTACAATGGATCTGAAAGATGCATACTTTCACATTCAGATAAACCCTCGTCACAGGCCATTCTTGAGATTCGCCTTTCGAGGGTCAGGCTTATCAATACACCGTTCTGCCTTTCGGTCTATTGTTAGCACCCTGTACATTCACGAAGTGTATGGATGCAGCGCTCTCTCCCCTGAGACATCAGGGAGTGCGCATGCTAAATTATCTCGACGACTGGCTGGTGCTGGCACAGTCAAGAACCGAGCTACTGTCACACAGGGATTTGATTCTCGGCCATTTGGAATGTCTAGGTCTCAAAATCAATGTAACCAAGAGCAAACTGACCCCCAGCCAGACCCCCAACCAGACTCTATGACGATGACAGCTCGGCTCACACGAGCGCGCGCGCTCTCTGTGCGAGCGCTAGCAGCCTCATTCAAGGCGGGCGAGCACGCACCCCTAAAGAAATTTCTGAAAGCAGCATCATCAGTACTCCGTATGGGATTACTGCGCATGTGCCCGCTGCAGCACTGGCTAAATCGCTGCGTGCCAACCAATGCATGGCAGTCAGGCAGCCTGCGCATCAGGGTGAATCACGGTTGTTTAAGAACCCTGATTACCTGGCAGGCTCAGGGCTGGTACCACGAGGGTGTGAACATGGGAGTAGTAGTAGTAGTAGTAGTAGTAGCTACACGAGGGCAAGCCTGCCTCCGGCCTCTGGTCAAGCACGGAGCAGAGCTTACATATCAACTGTCTGGAAATGAAAGCAGTTGGTTTGGTCCTGAAAGCATTTCTGTCAAACCTAAAAGGTCACCACGTCTTAGTCCACATGGACAACGTGTCAGTGGTAGCCTACATAAATCGCCAGGGTGGCATCAGGTCAGGCAACCTGCATGCCATGGCGACAGACCTCCTTTTATGGGCACAGACCAATCTGAGCTCTCAAAGAGCAGCACATATCCCTGCCATTCGGAATCTGGGTGCGGATATGCTCTCGCGGGGAACACTCCCCTAGGCGAGTGGTCCCTGAACTCACAGACGGTCAGTCTGATATGGAGTGTGTTCGGAGAGGCCGAAATCGACCTTTTTCGCCTCGAGAACCAACACCCACTGCACAGTGTTCTTCTCGAAGAGCAGGGACGCG